GAAGCGGTGCAGGCAGCAAAACGGGGACGGAATCCGAAGCGGCTCCAAGCTTTTTATGCTTCTGGCTCGACTGTTTTAAACGCAACTTTCTCTTCTGTGTCAGCTTGCACTTATCGCCATTGGATTGGTGGCTTCGAAGGGTCTGATAGCAGAAGAAGACATCGCCACAGTCGCACTTTTGACCCTTCATTTTTCAAACGTGATGTTGTGAGTTACGTAGGGAGCTTGTGCCTTTCATGAGATATAGCACCAACGTATTACTGTCGAGATGGTGTCAACATTGAAATCTACGTCCAGCAGCATGTCATGGATGGAGGGAATCTGTCCCAACAAACATACCCGGGCTGGCTCTGGAAATGAAAAGGGTTCACAAGAAATATGTTACTTAGCGTGAGAACCTACTCCACCCCGCATTGCAAAGGCGAATGAGCAGCTCCACGGTATGAAAATTTGATGTTTAGCGGATCACGAAGGTAACCGTGTGGTGTGCGAAGACAGTCACCGTGGGGTTCATAGTGTTCCGCAACTCCCTAGACACCTAAAAATATCTGGACACTACAGCATACTGGATGTCGAGTGTGCAGGGTTGACGTGGTGGGTGGCGAAACACCAAACCCGGAAGTGATTCTGACAACCCTAAAATTCCAACCAATCACGTATGATTACGTCATGTGTTGCTCAAGCCCAGGCAGGGTGATGAACCCTAATCGACCAAACTGCATTTCGTCTCAAAAATCCGACCGTTGAAAAGAGTCTCATCGTGCTGGATCTACGTGTTTCTCGAGCTAATTCCGGAAACATTGGAGCGCACAATTCTTGGACCACAGCTGACTGGGCATTCCAGACCAGCGAGAATCAGAATCAGTCACTAGTGAAGGGAGGCAATCAAGCGTTAGCAACCATCCGCGTTCATGTCAGTCCACGTCATTTGGAATCTGACGGACCCAAAGGCAGCACCGAAACGTGGGTGTCGAAACTGTGTTGCGGAACCACATCATTGGGCGATGCCTCTTCAACCCCCCATACACCAGAGAGCTCACACAGTTCCAGGGATAGCACCAGCAGCCAGAACACACTCCGTTGCATGACGATCTGAATCTCCAGTACTGCCAGCTCGTAGGTGATTCCATTCCATGGCTTCACGAGATGCAGCTTGTGATTTTCCCTTTCACCCGATTTCAATGCCTTTCCCATTTGGCGGAGCGTGGCTAGACGTCAGTGAGGAACACGCTAATAAGCTTAAACCCGGAGAATGGGTGACCGGAATCGTCATCGACTGGCTGGGAGTGTGAGTTATGAGTTTAATTTCGTGAGAAGCCAAAGTAGGACTACTTTGTAGGTCTAAGACGCTTATAATGCGTTATGTTTCAACATCCACAGGATGCTTCAATATGAGCACGGTCGCAACAACAAGATGTGGCTGTACAGTGGATCCTACTTCTGGAACTACGCTGGAAGGGACATTGCGAAGCGGGGTAACGCCCATCTTTTTGGGCTGGGGATATTCGACTACAACTATATTCTCGTCCCGATCAACAGCGAGTGGGTGTCAATCGCTTGAATTCCAGTCATAATTTCGATCAACGACTATTTCTGACAGATACTCGCTCATCGCTTGTTGTAGGTATCATTGGAGCTTGGTCGTCATTGAGATAATCCCCAAACCAGATGAGAACATACCCATGACCTGCGTTCTCTGGCATGCGGATTCGTACGGATCCCACGAATCCGTGGACGCGCCTTTGCGAAGGTACTGTCAGAGGACGTCATGGGTGTGCATTCTATCGTAGAAGCCCGATCTCTAATCTTCCATTTGTGCTCCATCATTCAGGTACTTAAGAAACGAGGTTATGAGGGTCTCAACTTGGATCCTTGATTCGGACGCAGATGCTTGGGCTGCGAGCATCCCTCTGCGCGTCGTCAAGGTGACCTCTGATCCCGTTGTCTTAAATGCCAGCTCTCAATCAATGACCCACCTTTTGACAGCCACGTGCATGTGCGAATGTGTGTTGACAGATTCCGTCGCAGACTAATGAGAATGACTGCGGTGTGTTCACGATGCGCGTGATGCACACACTTGTTGAAAACAAGTTCCATAACCTGGGTGCGTGTAAGCTTGTTGGTACACCGAGTAAGTGGCGCCGTCAGTACCTTCGCGACCTGAAGAAGTGGTCTGTCTTCTTCCTCGAAAATGCGTTGAACCAACCTCGAAACCAGGAGGAGGAGGTGGATGAGGAGGATGAGAAGGTGCAGGCGGATGTAGTGGAGTAGGTGGAGGAGGAGTAGGAGGAAGAGGTGGAGGAGGAGGAAGAGGAGGCATGTGAAGCACGTGGGGCATGAATGGCGTGTGAGGTGTTTGAGGCATGTGATGCATCGAGCCGGCATGTGAGGCATACGAGGTATACGAGGCATGAGAGGCAGAGCTCATGTGAGGAACATGATGCACGACGGGACATGTGAGGCACGTGAGGCATGCGAGGCACGTGAGGCATGAGTGGCATGTGGGGCATTGTGCTGACATGTGATGCATGTGAGGCATACGAGGCATGGGAGGCGGAGTTTAGGTGACTCCCGTGAGGCACGTGTGGCATGTGAGGCACGTGATAAATCTGAGGCACGTGAGGCATGTGAGGCACGTGAGGCATGAGTGGCATGTGTGGCATCGGGTGAGGTATCGTGGTGGCATGTATTCATGTGAGGCGTGTGAGGCACGTGAGGCATGTGAGGCATGTGTGGCACTTGCGGCACGTGATGTCGGTATGAGAGGCGCACCTTGTTATTGATGATGACCCAGCAGTCAACTCTCTTGTTAAGCCCCGCTACCTCCTCCTTGTATACACCTTGGTTTCTTAGGCAGCCTGTCAGTGGGATGAACTTGTCGATAAAGTATGGATAAACGGGCAGGAGATATGGCAGATGAATAATGTCCGGCGAATGTGGTCTTGTGGACCAACTGGATAGAGAACAAGGAGGTGTAGAGGACGGAGAGGTGCTGAGAACGGAGAGGTGCAGAGAAACGAGAGGTGTAGAGGACGGAGAGGTGCAGAGAACGGAGAGGTGCAGAGAACGGAGAGGTGCAGAGAATGGAGAGGTGCAAAGAACGGAGAGGTGCAGCGGACGGAGAGGTGCAGAGGACGGAGGAGAGGGGCAGAGAACGGAGAGGTGCAGGGAACGGAGAGGTGCAGGGAAGGGAGAGGTTTAGCGAATGGAGAGGTGCAGTGGACTGGGTGAGGTAGTGAACAAAGAGTTGCAGAGGTTGTAGAGGTGCAGATTACGGAGAGGTGCACATAATGGAAAGTGGACTTGGTCATTGCACTCAGCCATAGTACATTGACCTTGTCCCAGTGACTAGCTTTGCAAAAGGCAACTGGCTTGCATGTGCTGTTTTGCCAGGGAGATCAACAACTGTCTCAGCTGCATGTAACCACGTGTCTTCATGCTATTCTTCAGTAATGAAAATCACACGTCTATACATGAAGATAATCACAACCCATAGTAAACTGTAACGGTGAATTTGACAGGATTGCTTGGCTGTTCAAAATTTAAGCTACGGTGCATAGAGCAGAGATTTTAATCGATTAACGACATCACTGTGTGCATCCTACTGATTTGTGTTGGTTATTTGTTAAAAACCAGTGTGTCCCCATGGAATATAAAGGCAGGACTGGACTCTATGAACCAATTGAGCGGATTTCCATGACGATTATACACCCAATTTCGAACAGGGTAGTACATGCCAATACTGTAGCATAGCGAGACTAGGCGTTTATACGCGCTGGAAATTCGGATGCGCCTCACACCCCACGCCTACGACACCTGCGCTCATCACACCACTGAGCCGTTGCGACCGTGTCGCAATCGCTGTGCGGCGACTCACGTCGCCGCGATTTCAGGTGTTCCCTTGCACAATCACGCTGTGTCGACCTGTTCTACGTGGCTGCACGACGTTGTGCGACCACGAGCCCACCTTCCCTGTCTCGTGTAGTTCGCTGAGTAGTCGCAGCTGCTCATCGGGCATGGTACGTGACTATTGTGATAATATACGTGCGGCACCTGTCGCGTTGCCTGTAATTCAGCAACACGAGGGAGTCGGGCAGTTCAAACTCTCACTCGTTGCCGCTGGTTTATTTATCATAGGCCGTCCCTTTCGCACTTAGCGGCAAAACAATCAGCAGCGCGCCGTAGGTATCCAACGGACCATACAGTCAGTGGCGCGAACACGAGTGCAGTTTCTGGAAACCTGGCCAAAGCGTCATTACCTGTGACCGTGACCGTCTAGCTTCTTCCCATCTACAGTAACAGCCCATGTACCTGTGCTCTGGAGAGGCGGTGGATCTCGAAGGACCATCGTGCTTCTCTAAACCGCATGTTCAAACCCTCATCAGCCTGGTGCTGCTCATACGTGGTGGTTGGATCACGTACACCTGCTCCACCACCGTGTCTGGTACTCGGACCTCAGCAACCAACTGACATTTAATGCTAGTATCCGCTGGTGAGTCAAGTCACTATCTAATTCCTAACTTCCGTAACACGCCCGTCATGGGTGTGAACCTAGATCCAACAGTTCAAGCTCAAACCCTTAATGCGCAAGTAGGGGTTGTTGAGTTGCCTAGTTCTACCAAATCGCCAGATGAGAAGAGATATATGGAGGTAGTCACACCAGAGAAAACGGCCCAAGTCGTCATCGAGTATCGTAGGAGACATCCGTCCAAAGCTTGCAACGACAGCAAGTCAGGGGGCGATTCTTCATCTGAAAACGACTCCAGCCGTGACGGCGATGTGGAGTCATACGCAAACAAGGCTATTTCATCGCCCCCGAAACGGAGGGAACGGCGTATCAAGAAGTTGGAAGAATGCAACCCCAAAATAGGCCAGAAAGGTACGTGTTCACCGGATCCCACCAGCAATTATATGGCTCCTTGCGTAATTTCTGGGATGCCTATAGGTTGTTACCGCGTATCCCGCTTACGTCACATGTGACTACTCATTTTTCTCTTTTTATGCTTTTCACAGCCGGGTCAGAAGAGAAGGGTCACTGCCGTCCGAGAGCAAAGCGCAGGAAGGGGAGGAGTGCGGTGGAGAGGGGCAGTTCTTTCCATCGTCAGGATAAGGTGGCATTGGCCGGTGGCGACGACGTGCTACAGTCTGGGCCTGCCAAAGACGGGGAGGGTAAGGGACGAGGGGCTGTAGGCGCTAAGGGCGACAGTGATGGGGAGCGCAAGGGACGAGGGGCTGTAGGCGCTAAGGGCGACAGTGATGGGGAGCGCAAGGGACGAGGGGCTGTAGGCGCTAAGGGCGACAGTGATGGGGAGCGTAAGGGACGAGGGGCTGTAGGCGCTAAGGGCGACAGTGATGGGGAGCGTAAGGGACGAGGGGCTGTAGGCGATAAGGGCGACAGTGATGGGGAGCGCAAGGGACGAGGGGCTGTAGGCGCTAAGGGCGACAGTGATGGGGAGCGTAAGGGACGAGGGGCTGTAGGCGCTAAGGGCGACAGTGATGGGGAGCGTAAGGGACGAGGGGCTGTAAGCACTAAGGGCGACAGTGATGGGGAGCGTAAGGGACGAGGGGCTGTAAGCACTAAGGGCGACAGTGATAGGGAGCGTAAGGGACGAGGGGCTGTAAGCACTAAGGGCGACAGTGATGGGGAGCGTAAGGGACGAGGGGCTGAAGTCACGTACAAGCGGCGCAAGGTGGTTGACACGGGCGGTCACGACAGAAAAATGAGGAAGGCTCGCCAGGGACGGAAACGGTACGCTTCACCCAGATCGTCGTCCGGTTCCGAGGAGGGATCCAGCAACGGGGAATCTGGTAGTTCATCTGGCAGCGAATATGGGGACGAGGAGGAAGAGGAGGAGGAGGAGGAGGAGGAGGAGGAGGAGGAGGAGGAGGAGGAGAGTGAGGACCAAGATCTGGAGCCGGAAAGCGAGGAGGCGGATGAGGTGCGTCCCAAGAGAAAGGGGCGTGATCGGAAGGCCAAGAAGGGCATTCCTAAGAGGAACCGTGACAAGGGTCGGGACAAGGGCCGTAAGGGGCGCGACAGTCGTGAGAAATCGCATGGCAACAACGGTCGCCGGCGTGTGGTTTCCCAGGTTGTCCGTGTGCGCCCCAAAGTGAAGCCCGAGCCTGAATTCTATGCGGAGATGGGAGTGAAAGCAACTGCTGCTCCTACTGGATATCTTGATCGTAAAGACCAGACCCGAAGGAGGCGTGACGATCGCGAGGACCCTTATGCTGCTCTCCGAGGGCCATCACTAAATGCTGGGAAAGGAGCAGACCCGTTGCCTACAGGGTCATGGCGTCATAACAAGGAGGGAAAAGACCCACTTGCGAAGCGTCTCGAGACACGGGATTCACCGGATCTTGATAAAGACGACTTTAAGCCCAAACGGTACGCTGACCCAACGGCCGCAGCAGCAAACGACGGTGTGGCAGGTGGGATGTGGGCAAACACATTGGGTGATTGTGGCGGAGTTATGGCTGGCTCTCCGTATGATGAACGTGACGAAAGGGGCGACGACTACACCTGGAAAAGGGATCCACACACGAACGAGGGGAGGGGTGAGAGCATGTGCACGCCCGGTGCATCTGGTCGTCTCAATCCGGCTCGCCCCAAGACGGTGGAGCAGCTCACGCGAGAGCTTGAGCTAGCAAACAGCGAACTAGCAACCCTCAAGGCAAAACCAGCTTGCAATGGCGTCAAAAACCGCGGACCCCCTTCCCAAGTTCCTCCTCTGGCACCTTTGGCGAGCGACCCATCATCTGGGGGCCTCAGTCCCGAGGTAGCTGATGAGAGCACCCCGACAGAGGGCCAGCCCATTCGGCGCAGGCATGGAATGCCCACTCTCGAGAAACTGAGGGTGAGTGTGAGGGGCACTCTGCGTTGCTTTCATGCTCATTCGTAACCCCCTGCTAGCATCTTGCTATTCATGCTCATGTTAACCCCCCTTGCTAGCCCCACATTGTCCAGCATGTCGTTCCAAACCCCCTCTGCCTGCACTACGTCTGTTCTTGCTCATTCGTAACCCCCTTGCCAGCCCCACATTGTCATGGTTGTTAATTATAACCCCCTCTGCCTGCCCCACATTTGATATGCTTGCCCCTCGCCACTGATTTCTTCTTGCCCTACCATCCCGTCCATTGTAGCTTCATTTTGTTGAGGCGCGGGACCGGATGTGCATGGAAGCGCCGGACCATGCGGTTGACTGGTACCCATCATTTGACCAGCGACTACAGGTTCTGTATGGCGTCATCAGTGAGACCCACATCATTTCTTACATGCAGCTGAAAGAGACAATGAAGGATCAGAACGTCGTTGCCGTCTTTAAACGTGTGTGGACAGCATGGAAGAATGAACGGGGATTTCAAGTCAAGCGCGGTGTGCTCGAGGAGTTTGGAGTGAAGGTGGAGGGACTGCGTGCCTCGCAGATCAAGCTGAGCACGAAGAGGAAGTGGAGGTTGTGGCGAAAATACAAACCGAGTGAGTCTTGCCAATCAGCTATCCCGCTGCAACTACGTTGGTTTCGTCGCGTTGCTCATTCCCTTTGTCATTTCAGATAGCACTTTTATTTCCTAAACCTGGCCCCATCATGTCATGGTCACAAACCCGTCTGCCCTGCATTCCCCACCGCAGGTTCCTCGCCCAAACCCCTCTGCCCTGCCTGCCCCACCTCAGGATCGTAAACCCAAACTCTTCTGCCCTGCCTGCCCCACCTCAGGATCCTCACCCAAACCCCTCTGCCCTGCCTGCCCCACCTCAGGATCCTCACTCAAACCCCTCTGCCCTGCCTGCCCCACCTCAGGATCCTAAACCCAAACCCCTCTGCCCTGCCTGCCCCACCTCAGGATCCTCACCCAAACCCCTCTGCCCTGCCTGCCCCACCTCAGGATCCTCACCCAAACCCCTCTGCCCTGCCTGCCCCACCTCAGGATCCTAAACCCAAACCCCTCTGCCCTGCCTGCCCCACCTCAGGATCCTAAACCCCAACCCCTCTGCCCTGCCTGCCCCACCTCAGGATCCTCACTCAAACCCCTCTGCCCTGCCTGCCCCACCTCAGGATCCTCACTCAAACCCCTCTGCCCTGCCTGCCCCACCTCAGGATCCTCACCCAAACCCCTCTGCCCTGCCTGCCCCACCTCAGGATCCTAAACCCAAACCCCTCTGCCCTGCCTGCCCCACCTCAGGATCCTAAACCCAAACCCCTCTGCCCTGCCTGCCCCACCTCAGGATCCTCACCCAAACCCCTCTGCCCTGCCTGCCCCACCTCAGGACCCTAAACCCAAACCCCTCTGCCCTGCCTGCCCCACCTCAGGATCCTCACCCAAACCCCTCTGTCCTGCCTGCCCCACTACTTGGACCCTAACCCCCAGCCCCTCTGCCCTGCCTGCCCCACCTCAGGATCCTAAACCCAAACCCCTCTGCCCTGCCTGCCCCACCTCAGGATCCTCACCCAAACCCCTCTGCCCTGCCTGCCCCACCTCAGGATCCTAAACACAAACCCCTCTGCCCTGCCTGCCCCACCTCAGGATCCTAAACCCAAACCCCTCTGCCCTGCCTGCCCCACCTCAGGATCCTCACCCAAACCCATCTGCCCTGCCTGCCCCACGTCAGGATCCTAAACCCAAACCCCTCTGCCCTGCCTGCCCCACCTCAGGATCCTCACCCAAACCCCTCTGCCCTGCCTGCCCCACCTCAGGACCCTAAACCCAAACCCCTCTGCCCTGCCTGCCCCACCTCAGGATCCTCACCCAAACCCCTCTGCCCTGCCTGCCCCACCTCAGGATCCTAAACACAAACCCCTCTGCCCTGCCTGCCCCACCTCAGGATCCTTAACCCAAACCCCTCTGCCCTGCCTGCCCCACCTCAGGATCCTCACCCAAACCCATCTGCCCTGCCTGCCCCACCTCAGGATCCTAAACCCAAACCCCTCTGCCCTGCCTGCCCCACCTCAGGATCCTCACCCAAACCCCTCTGCCCTGCCTGCCCCACCTCAGGATCCTCACCCAAACCCCTCTGCCCTGCCTGCCCCACCCCAGGATCCTCACCCAAACCCCTCTGCCCTGCCTGCCCCACCTCAGGATCCTCACCCAAACCCCTCTGCCCTGCCTGCCCCACCTCAGGATCCTAAACCCCAACCCCTCTGCCCTGCCTGCCCCACCTCAGGATCCTCACTCAAACCCCTCTGCCCTGCCTGCCCCACCTCAGGATCCTCACTCAAACCCCTCTGCCCTGCCTGCCCCACCTCAGGATCCTCACCCAAACCCCTCTGCCCTGCCTGCCCCACCTCAGGATCCTAAACCCAAACCCCTCTGCCCTGCCTGCCCCACCTCAGGATCCTAAACCCAAACCCCTCTGCCCTGCCTGCCCCACCTCAGGATCCTCACCCAAACCCCTCTGCCCTGCCTGCCCCACCTCAGGACCCTAAACCCAAACCCCTCTGCCCTGCCTGCCCCACCTCAGGATCCTCACCCAAACCCCTCTGTCCTGCCTGCCCCACTACTTGGACCCTAACCCCCAGCCCCTCTGCCCTGCCTGCCCCACCTCAGGATCCTAAACCCAAACCCCTCTGCCCTGCCTGCCCCACCTCAGGATCCTCACCCAAACCCCTCTGCCCTGCCTGCCCCACCCCAGGATCCTCACCCAAACCCCTCTGCCCTGCCTGCCCCACCTCAGGATCCTCACCCAAACCCCTCTGCCCTGCCTGCCCCACCTCAGGATCCTAAACCCCAACCCCTCTGCCCTGCCTGCCCCACCTCAGGATCCTCACTCAAACCCCTCTGCCCTGCCTGCCCCACCTCAGGATCCTCACTCAAACCCCTCTGCCCTGCCTGCCCCACCTCAGGATCCTCACCCAAACCCCTCTGCCCTGCCTGCCCCACCTCAGGATCCTAAACCCAAACCCCTCTGCCCTGCCTGCCCCACCTCAGGATCCTAAACCCAAACCCCTCTGCCCTGCCTGCCCCACCTCAGGATCCTCACCCAAACCCCTCTGCCCTGCCTGCCCCACCTCAGGACCCTAAACCCAAACCCCTCTGCCCTGCCTGCCCCACCTCAGGATCCTCACCCAAACCCCTCTGTCCTGCCTGCCCCACTACTTGGACCCTAACCCCCAGCCCCTCTGCCCTGCCTGCCCCACCTCAGGATCCTAAACCCAAACCCCTCTGCCCTGCCTGCCCCACCTCAGGATCCTCACCCAAACCCCTCTGCCCTGCCTGCCCCACCTCAGGATCCTAAACACAAACCCCTCTGCCCTGCCTGCCCCACCTCAGGATCCTTAACCCAAACCCCTCTGCCCTGCCTGCCCCACCTCAGGATCCTCACCCAAACCCATCTGCCCTGCCTGCCCCACCTCAGGATCCTAAACCCAAACCCCTCTGCCCTGCCTGCCCCACCTCAGGATCCTCACCCAAACCCCTCTGCCCTGCCTGCCCCACCTCAGGATCCTCACCCAAACCCCTCTGCCCTGCCTGCCCCACCCCAGGATCCTCACCCAAACCCCTCTGCCCTGCCTGCCCCACCTCAGGATCCTCACCCAAACCCCTCTGCCCTGCCTGCCCCACCTCAGGATCCTAAACCCCAACCCCTCTGCCCTGCCTGCCCCACCTCAGGATCCTCACTCAAACCCCTCTGCCCTGCCTGCCCCACCTCAGGATCCTCACTCAAACCCCTCTGCCCTGCCTGCCCCACCTCAGGATCCTCACCCAAACCCCTCTGCCCTGCCTGCCCCACCTCAGGATCCTAAACCCAAACCCCTCTGCCCTGCCTGCCCCACCTCAGGATCCTAAACCCAAACCCCTCTGCCCTGCCTGCCCCACCTCAGGATCCTCACCCAAACCCCTCTGCCCTGCCTGCCCCACCTCAGGACCCTAAACCCAAACCCCTCTGCCCTGCCTGCCCCACCTCAGGATCCTCACCCAAACCCCTCTGTCCTGCCTGCCCCACTACTTGGACCCTAACCCCCAGCCCCTCTGCCCTGCCTGCCCCACCTCAGGATCCTAAACCCAAACCCCTCTGCCCTGCCTGCCCCACCTCAGGATCCTCACCCAAACCCCTCTGCCCTGCCTGCCCCACCCCAGGATCCTCACCCAAACCCCTCTGCCCTGCCTGCCCCACCTCAGGATCCTCACCCAAACCCCTCTGCCCTGCCTGCCCCACCTCAGGATCCTAAACCCCAACCCCTCTGCCCTGCCTGCCCCACCTCAGGATCCTCACTCAAACCCCTCTGCCCTGCCTGCCCCACCTCAGGATCCTCACTCAAACCCCTCTGCCCTGCCTGCCCCACCTCAGGATCCTCACCCAAACCCCTCTGCCCTGCCTGCCCCACCTCAGGATCCTAAACCCAAACCCCTCTGCCCTGCCTGCCCCACCTCAGGATCCTAAACCCAAACCCCTCTGCCCTGCCTGCCCCACCTCAGGATCCTCACCCAAACCCCTCTGCCCTGCCTGCCCCACCTCAGGACCCTAAACCCAAACCCCTCTGCCCTGCCTGCCCCACCTCAGGATCCTCACCCAAACCCCTCTGTCCTGCCTGCCCCACTACTTGGACCCTAACCCCCAGCCCCTCTGCCCTGCCTGCCCCACCTCAGGATCCTAAACCCAAACCCCTCTGCCCTGCCTGCCCCACCTCAGGATCCTCACCCAAACCCCTCTGCCCTGCCTGCCCCACCTCAGGATCCTAAACACAAACCCCTCTGCCCTGCCTGCCCCACCTCAGGATCCTAAACCCAAACCCCTCTGCCCTGCCTGCCCCACCTCAGGATCCTCACCCAAACCCATCTGCCCTGCCTGCCCCACCTCAGGATCCTAAACCCAAACCCCTCTGCCCTGCCTGCCCCACCTCAGGATCCTCACCCAAACCCCTCTGCCCTGCCTGCCCCACCTCAGGACCCTAAACCCAAACCCCTCTGCCCTGCCTGCCCCACCTCAGGATCCTCACCCAAACCCCTCTGCCCTGCCTGCCCCACCTCAGGATCCTAAACACAAACCCCTCTGCCCTGCCTGCCCCACCTCAGGATCCTTAACCCAAACCCCTCTGCCCTGCCTGCCCCACCTCAGGATCCTCACCCAAACCCATCTGCCCTGCCTGCCCCACCTCAGGATCCTAAACCCAAACCCCTCTGCCCTGCCTGCCTCACCTCAGGATCCTCACCCAAACCCCTCTGCCCTGCCTGCCCCACCTCAGGACCCTAAACCCAAACCCCTCTGCCCTGCCTGCCCCACCTCAGGATCCTCACCCAAACCCCTCTGCCCTGCCTGCCCCACCTCAGGACCCTAAACCCAAACCCCTCTGCCCTGCCTGCCCCACCTCAGGATCCTCACCCAAACCCCTCTGCCCTGCCTGCCCCACCTCAGGACCCTAAACCCAAACCCCTCTGCCCTGCCTGCCCCACCTCAGGATCCTCACCCAGACCCCTCTGCCCTGCCTGCCCCACCTCAGGTTCCTCGCCCAAACCCCTCTGCCCTGCCTGCCCCACCTCAGGATCCTCACCCAAACCCCTCTGCCCTGCCTGCCCCACCTCAGGATCCTAAACCCAAACCCCTCTGCCCTGCCTGCCCCACCTCAGGATCCTCACCCAAACCCCTCTGCCCTGCCTGCCCCACCTCAGGATCCTCACCCAAACCCCTCTGCCCTGCCTGCCCCACCTCAGGATCCTCACCCAAACCCCTCTGCCCTGCCTGCCCCACCTCAGGATCCTCACCCAAACCCCTCTTCCCTGCCTGCCCCACCTCAGGATCCTAAACCCAAACCCCTCTGCCCTGCCTGCCCCACCTCAGGATCCTCACCCAAACCCCTCTGCCCTGCCTGCCCCACCCCAGGATCCTCACCCAAACCCCTCTGCCCGGCCTGCCCCTTCTTACGATGCCCAAACATACCTCCAAACACTGCCTGCCCCACTACTTGATGATAAAACATACCCCGTGCTTCCCCACATGGTTGTGCCTCCTTGTAGGAGGGAATGAGCGGGTCAGCTCGTGGGGGAACGACAGATCCGGGCTCCCTTTTGCCAACGCCCGGTTTGTGGATGCGGTGAAGGCATCATTTCGGGATTACGCTGTTGGGCGCAGGCTGGCCCTAAAGACGTACCACATAGCCTGGTCACTCATGGTGGTGAGACTGGTTTTGTAAATCACATGTACTTGCCCTAATGCTCAATCTTTTCTATTGCACGTGAACGACTTGGGACCCTTGGG